TAGAGTGCAGTCATGTCATTAGCTCACTGCAACCTCAAAATCCCAGGCTGAAGTGATCTGCCTCAGCCTCCATAGTAGCTGGGACTATGGTGGGTGCATGCCTCCACACCTGGCCAATTTTTCTAATTTTATTTATTTATTTATTTATTTATTTATTTTTTGCAGTTTTTGGCCAGGGCTGGGTTCGAACCCGCCACCTCCGATTTATGGGGCCAGCGCCCTACTCCTTTGAACCACAGGCACTGCCCCCAATTTTTCTAATTTGTGTAGAATGTGGTAGGTTAGGGGAATAGAATCTGCCCCCCCTCCCCCATGTTGCTTGGTCTGTTCTCAAACTTCTGGCCTGAAGGATCCTCCCACTGGGCCTAGACTCTTATAAAAGCAGCCCTGGGCAGTCATGACCCTTTTTTTTTTTTTTTTTTTTTTTGCAGTTTTGTTGGCCAGGGCTGGGTTTGAACCCACCGCCTCCAGTATATGGGGCCGATGCCCTACTCCTTGAGCCACAGGAGCCATCCATCATGACCATGTTTTAACAGAACTTTATTGTGAGGATTGAAATTTTGAATTTAACATAATTTTCTTGTGTTACAAAACTAGTCCTTTGAGGCTTGGTGCCCATTGCTCAGTGGTTAGGGTGCCATCCACATTCACTGGGGCTGGCAGGTTCCAACCCATCCTGGGCCTGCTAAAAAAAATAACAATGACAACTGCAACAGAAAAATAGCGGGGCATTGTGGGAGGCACGTGTAGTCCCAGCTACCTGGGAGGCTGAGGCAAGAGAATTCCTTAAGCCCAACAGTTTGAGGTTGCTATGAGCTGTGATGCCACAGTACTCTACCAAGGCTGACATAGTAAGACTGTTTCAAACAAACAAAAAAACAATGAAAAAAGGAAAAAAATCCTTAAAAATGTATACAGAGGCTGGGCACGGTGGCCTGTAATCCCACCATTCTGGGAGGCCTAGGCAGGAGGATGGCTTGAGCTCACAAATTCCAGACCAGCCTGAGCCAGATCTAGACCTCGACACTAAAGATAGCTGGGTGTTGTGGCAGACGCCTGTAGTCTCATACTCCAGAGACTGAGGCAATAGAATCACTTGAGCTCTAGAGTTTGAGATTGGGCAGCGTCTGTGACTCAGTGAGTAGGGCCCTGGCCCCATATACTGAGGGTGGCAGGTTCGAACCTGGCCCCCACCAAACTGCAACAAAAAAATAGCTGGGCATTGTAGTCCCAAGTAGCTGGGACTACAGGCACCCACCACAAGGCCCGTCTATTTTTTGTTGAAGTTGTCATTGTTGTTTAGCTGGCTCGAGCTGGTATCAAACCCATCATCTTTGGTGTATGTGGCAGGCTCCTTAACCACTGTGGTATGGGTGCCAAGCTGTAATACAACCTTTTTGGAAGGAAGGATGGAGAACTCCCAAAGAACTCAGGCTAGACCTCCCAATTCATCCTGCAACCCCATTACTGGCCATCTATCCAGAAGGTAAAAAAAAAGTCCTTTTCCTAGACTTGGCCCCTGTAGCTCAGTGGCTAGGATGCCAACCACATACACAGGAGCTGGCAGGTTCAAACCCAGCCCGGGCCTGCCAAACAACAATAACAACTACAACCAAAAAATAACTGGGCATTGTGGCAGGTGCCTGTAGTGGGCACCTGTGTTCTCAGCTATTTGAGAGGCTGAGGCAAGAGAATCACTTAAGCCCAAGAGTTGGAGATTGCTGTGAGCTGTGACCCCACCACACTCTACTGAGGGTGACATAGTGAGACTCTGTCTCAAAAAAAAAAAATCCTTTTATCATAAGGACACTTGCACTAGACTATTTATCACAGTTCAATTTATAATTGCCAAAATGCCCACCAACCCAGGAATGGATTGGCAAGCTGTGGTATATGTAT